GCAGATGAAATTATGATGATAGCAAGAAAATGAGAATTGGAAACCAAGACATGTTCTGGTCCTCAGCATTTGGAGTCTACACAAGTTATACAAGTGATCTTTTATAAATGGGTCTTTCTTTCACTGCCAGAGAAAATGAATTGCTTAGTAGTTACTAGTAGCCCTCAAGTAGCTACTCTTTATGAATGCAGACTAGTTTTAAAGATTTATTTTTATTATTTTGTAATTGTGGGTATATATGTATATCTGTGTGGGGATGTAAACATGAGTGTAGGTGACCATGGAGTCCAGAGAGTTTTAGATCTCCCAGAGCCTGAGTTACCCACAGTTATGCATCACTAAAATTCAGTTCTGGAACTGTGCTTGCGTTTGTTGAAAGCACAGGAAGTATTCTTAGTCATTTAGTCGTGTCTCCAGCCCCCCTTTTTCATAAAACTAGAATTTACTTTACTCCATATTTAATTCATACACACATGAGAAGAGCTGTTTAAAATGAGACTTTGAGCCAAAGTTTTATTTTTAGTTTTCATTTTTGAAAATTGATAAGTGAAATATGTAGTTGTTTTCATAGATAATTTCAAAATTTAAAATTATTATATAACTGCCATCTGATTATACAGTGATTCTGTCCCAACATTAAAATTTGAGTAGTGGAACAAAGAAAGACATTTCATAGTATATGGGTAGCACTATGATATTTTGTATCCATTTCTGAAAACAAATTTCTCTAACAATATTATCCTTATGTGGTTGTTTAAAAATCTGTGATTATCTCATTTTGAAAGTATGGAACTAACCCAAGAGAATTTAGTTAGCTTGCTATAGAAAATGGAAATGACACTGGCCCTATGACTAACTAATTGCCCTCATTTTATATCACTATTAATCGATGCCTGTAATAAATAGTTAGCTAGCTAGAAAATTTAGTAGTACCCCAGTATTAAACTATTCATAGTCAGCTTTCTTCAGTCTGCCGTTGAGCTTACCTAAAACCAACAATAATATAATAAACACTTGCAAGTTCAAGTAGTTGCAGAAAAAGGTAAGGTTGATACATTTTCTTATCATTTTTTTATTTTAATTTTAAATAGCTTGTTTTACATGTCAATCCCAGTTCCCTCTCCCTCCCCTCCTCCCGCACTCCCCTTCCCCACCACCCTCCACCCTATTGCCAAATCCTTTCACATAGGGGATATCTAGAGTCTGTCATTTTACTCTGGGTAGGGTCCAGGCACTCCCCTAAGAGTCCAGGCTGAGAGAGCATCCCTCTTTGTGCTATAGGCACACGAAGACTGTTTGTATACCAGGGATAGACACTGATCCACAGCTCAGGGCCCCATAGGTTGCCCAGGCCTTCTCGCTGACACATTTGGGGGGTCCAGATCAGTCCCATGCTGGCCTCCCCACTGTCGGTCTGGGGTCCAAGAGCTCCCCCTTGTTCAAATCAGCTGTCTCTGCTGGTTTTGCCAGCCCATTCTTTGCCAATTTGCTCATCACTCCTCTCTCTCTGTCACTGGGTTCCTTGGGTTCAGTTCAGTGATTAATTGTGTGTTTGCCTCTGCTTCCATCAGTCACAGGATGAAGGCTCCCGGATGGTTATAGGCATCAAGTTCATTATCAGGAATGGGCATTCGAGGTGGTCCCTCCACTATTGCTTAGCTTGCCAATTGGTGTTATCCCTTTAGATCACTCGAGGTTGCTCTGGTGCCTGATCTGTATTCGATCCTATGATTCCCTCTTCCCCCTATTCTACCCCCACTCCCTCAACTTCCTGTTCCCCCATGACCAACTCTCTTCCTCTACTTAAAGCTCAAAGAGTAGCAGAAATAGTAATAAGATTGATTTATTATCAAAGTCATTTCACAGAGCCAACAGAGCATTATTTATGTAATTATGGACTGAGATTTCTTTGCTGTAGGGTTATAGTATAAGGTTTGTATCAGTTTGATCTAGCAAGCTTGCTTCTCATTTATAATAGTCACATGACATTTTATTTTAGAGATGAAACTGACCTTAAAGAAAATATCGTTTACAATTTGTACACATTTCCTTGCTCCACTTAGCTGATATGTTATATTTTCAATATATGAATATTAAATATGAATATTAAAATTATATAATGCTGCGATAGTTTTGACATCAATGTAAATGATTATCAAGGCAATATTTTCTCCAGGCCCTCAATTAACTTTCCAGAAAACAATTATTTGACAAGCATTTCTTCTTTATCTTATTTTTCAATAAATATGTGAGTGTTTTTATTTTTCTTAAATTGTCAAAATAATTAAATTTGATGTAGATCTTAGAAGCTATGAACAATTGTTTACTGAGCAAAGCAAAACTGAAAACACAGAGAGCTATAGTCAGGTATTACAATTTCCTATTAAATGCATTTTAATTTTCCATGATGAATATCTAATATTGTCATTTTAAATGTTGTACAAGTTATTGTTTTAGCTTTTTCCATTACTTCTGTTTTTTCATTCTTATCCATATTTTGATTCATTTCAGATAAAATTCTTTAATGCTTTTCTATCAGTTTAGCAAATAAAACTATTAGAAAATTAAATATACTTTTAAGTGTATTAAAATCTTTCCTTATATTAAAAGGCAAATTTAATCATTATAAAGTCTTTTATGATGTACATAGTCATGAAAAGCAAAATATATCTAAACCTATCCGTTATTTATATTAACATCCTTGAAAAATAAATACCACATTTCAAAATTTCTCCCTACAGGGAAATTGTAAAAGAGTATGACATTCTGCAAGTGACATGCATGTTTCAAGTGGTTCCTGACCTAGTTTAGTAGCTCATACAAACCAGCTTTTACTTACTCACCTTCCCTTTCCCTGCTGGAAAGCAGAGCTCAAGTGCTTTTAAAATTCTTTATAGCATTCAAAAATTGCCAATCTTTCCTTAACATATATGTTTTTATTGCCACTTTATAACAGGGGTGTAGGAAGTAAAATGAAGTTGCTAGAAGAGCCTGATCAATAGCCAAGTTTTCTCAGTTAATAACTAGCCAACCCAATACTAATCATCAGAAGTTTTTCACCTCTTTCTATTTTACTTTCTCATCAAGATGTCTGATCTAAACTCTGACACAAATGACAAGTAGAAGTTGTCATTACTGCTATACTCTATTAAATATACATGAAGTAAGCATTTGGGCTTACATATGTAGCTTTAAGTAGAGATGAAATATTTGACATATAAGTAACATTTAAAACATTCTGTCAAATCTGAACTTTTTATCATGTTGTTGTAATACATAGATCCCTGTCCATTGCCCTCAGTGAGAACAGAAATCCTGTCTGTTAGATAAATCACGCACAAACTATATTTTTAAATTGGGCAAAGTCTGTAGCATATTATTAGTTCACAAAATCAGAGGAACCCCTGAAAGCATACATATAAATCACACTATCTAGACTGAGAGGGTAGTATTTATGTATTTAGAAATATATGTGTATATACATGATTGTAACATCAATTAATGAAAAAAGGCCATGAATTTTAATGAGCACAAGGATGTGTAGGTGTGAGGGAGGGGTTAGAGGAAAAAAGGGAAAATGGAAATGGCACAATAATATAATCTCAAAAAATAAAAGAAATTAGTTTTAAAGTGAGCAAGAGATGCTTAAATTCTGTTCTCATATCATTTCCAGAGAAAGAGGTGTCCTGTATCTTGCTTCAGGTTTGAATCAAACACAAATCTTATTTTTTTATAAATGAGAATGTGAAATGGTTATTATTTTCAAGAAGTTTGGTTCTTGAAGTTATTCCTAAAGAAAGCACCATACATACCTGGAAATACTATTTCATATGTTTTTTCTACATACACATAGAATGAATTGGCTCCTATAGCATTTTATTATTTGTGTTGACTTGCAAGGGTCTACTTTCCTACTCTCAAAAATTTGGGCCATATTTATACAGGAGTATTAATAACTAACTACAAACCACGCTAACTTAGCTACTGTTTTTTAGTGAGAATACCACATATTAAGGTTTTTCCTATAAGTGAAATAAGGTTCATACAATTAGTTTTACATTTAATTTCAATTGACAGAATTTTGTTGATTGTAACCCCACATTTTTATCTTTCTTTTATTCAGATTAGGGACCCATGAACCATCAGTGGTAATTCTGATGTTAAATAATTTAGTGCTCATTTGAAACTTAGAAATATAACAAAAATACAGCAACTTAAAGGAACAATGGGCTTAGGATTTGAACTCATATAAAAATAGTATAAATGGTTCCAAAATAAGGTAGCCACTAGGAAAGAAAATCTGGTAACCTACCTAGTTTTGCATACTAGTTCTTAGAATCTCTTTTGTTTTTATAAGTGGGCAGGAGCTAAGGAAACACTTGAAAGGAAACATCAGAACAGTGTAGGAAAATTCAAAATGCATTTTTCTCAGTAATCCATTGTAGTCACTTTTAAATAAACATCCTATCAGGAAAGGAAACTTCATCTAGAAGGAATACTGCAAATCTCATCTAGAAGGAATACTGCAACCTTTACCAGAGATTTATTTTTGCCATAATAGAAAGTGGTGTGGATAATTACTGGTGCTCAAATAGTGAAGGAAAGCAAATGCTTTGTTTATTATGCTAACGGTGTATTTCACTACAGATGTAAAGCAGTATAGCATGCTCAAAGGGCTCATATGCATATATTAGTTGGGGACTATCATTTAGGCCATTTTAATGTTGTTACTCTCACCCACTAAGAATTAAATTAAGTTTTAAAAATCATTGTAAGTCTGCAGTTTTGATCATTTTGGTAAATTTCATTTTTAAAGTGACAATTTCACTAAAAGATAAAGCTAATAAAATAGAATATGGATTAGGTACATATTTATCCAAATGCCAAATATGTATATGCATATCTATCACAGGAAATACTATAAATTGAGTTTGTAGTGAATTTTTTATTCTCTTTGTTGGAATGACATTTTAACAAGGTCTTTTTGTTTTTCTGTGCAGCCTGAACACTGATGCCGGAACTCCAAGTGATCAAAGACACAGATAGGGTGCTGCAGCAGTTACCTGCTTACTTAGTGTTGTGATTCTTTAGAATTCATATTCAGATTCTTTTAAAATATGGAGCATTCAATTACTATTTGTTCATAATTGATGAATGGGACCTTGAACACATAGGAAAAATGAGCTAGAAATTGGACTTCCCATGTTTTTAAGGGGCAATCATAATGACTGAACATAATATTTTCTGTTTTCTTTTCTCATTTCTTTTAATGAGCTCATAGGGCTTCACAAACATTATCACATTTATCTACACAGCAGGTTTGTAGTGGGCTAAGTAGGTGGAACAGTTTCAAAAATGGGTAAAATGCTATTTCTAGATTGTACGTGAGAAAATAAGATGTAGAAATACTTACTTTGAGCTGTGCCTATTATGGACTACCTTTCTATTTCTCCAATATGGTATTAAATAGAACCTGAATTAGCAGACAATTTATTGGTACAAATGGTTGATATTTCTTTTCATGGCCTGTGAGCTAACATTGTAGAAGAAATTGTGCCTGACTTGTTCTCTAAGAAAACATAGAGAGCTTTAATTTCTAGATCATCACATACCTACATTTTTCTTTGAACTAATGATGGTGGAGCAATTTATTTACTCCCTCACTACTAGCACATCCCTTATCTTTACAGAATACAATGATAACAATGGTCCTCAGCCTACCAAATATGCCTCCTTTATTCTTTTCTTCTTCCTTTCCATCCCAAATGTTGCTTCTTCACTATTATGCTAGCAACAGAAAACAGAAATAATTATAGGATTAAAAACTACCAACACAAGAAAGGAGAAAGACAGATATGATGGGTTATTCACATTGTGAACATTTACACTATTCACCCTCTGGTCTAAGCATAATTAGGCAATTAGCATTTTCAAGAGATTTAGAAGTGGTTAATTTGACCTGAATTGCTCAGGAAACGTCAAGAAATATTTTTACAATTTACTTATTAAAGACCTGGCCACAGACTTGTGGTACATAATTACTACCGTTTTTACAACCCCTAAGATTCGAATAATCAGTACTTGAGTGATCAGAAACATTTGATGACGCTTCACAACTATTCTCATTACACCAGCAAAGTCTTATTCATTGTGTAGTATCTGCCCTAGAATTAAATTCTGTTGTGATAAAAGTTCTACTCATCCAAAATGCCAACTGATATTTTATTCATTTTCCATTAATCAGTTCTTTGTGGTGATATATGTAGTTCATTTTGGGATGACCACCTAACTGAAATAATTTTTAAAATAATACATTAATTCATATCCACATGATGTAGTGGTTGTTTCACATCCTAAAGGATTTTTTCTATGCTATATTTGGCTTTTGATGATACACCCAAGATCTACTTGTATACAATCTGCAATGTTCTATTCAACTGCATCAATATAATGCTAACTTAGAAACAATTTATGAAGGATGAAATAAAATATCAAATATGTTATCTGAATAACAATGATTTATGACTAAAGGCACAAAATCTAGAATCATCTCTTCATCATAGAGTCAGAGAACATGTGCTATATGATACAGAAAATAGAATAGCATTTTAAAATCAGATCACTCAAAAATACAGGAATGTCTTAACTATTTTAGGAGAATGGTAGGAATCCTCATTATTTTCCTGGCATTTCCCACTTACTTGTCCTCTTTATGATACTCAATGTTAGTTATTACTTTCTATAAATTTTAGATGTATAACATGGGAGGCGAATGTTACATGTTCTGGATATGGGACAGCCAAGTGTGTCTCTTACAGAATTGAAACTATCATGAGAGGGTGTCCTATTGGGCAGCCTCCTGTGCCATCCCAAGTGAGGCATTACTACAACATGGAAAGGATTGCACAAACATATGTTTTTACTTAAAACACTGTTATATCTGTATATATATAATTCCCCATTTTACCTATTGGATAAATGTTAAAGCAGTAAAATGCCAGCTGTCCCCATGTGTCAACGTATATGTTCCTTCTTATGAGTGTTGAAGCACCAAACAATGCCCCCGGAGAGGGGTTTTTCATTGCTTTTCCTAATCTTTAATCATGTTTACAAACAGAATGCATATGAGATCATCTCTGTTTAATGTTCAAGTACATACCTTCTTAAAAACATGAAGCAGTCAACTACTAATTAGCTGTTTCCTATTCCTAATGAAGAGAGCATAGCAGATTTGGATTAAAATTCAGCTGCAACCCTGTTCTGTTTATGGTTCCAGGTGTTTTTGTTTTATCTAGGCGTTTACTTTGACAGCTACTACTAAATGATAAATCACTCGTATTACAGCTGAAATGCATTTTGAAATTGAAACGTGGCAAACTTTGAGATTGTTCCAAGGAACAGTGTTGATTACTAGGTCAATACGTGTTCCTGCCTTGTAATCACTTGTATTGGAATACTCAAAACAGTAATAGACAATGATGTCGTAATATTACAGAACATGTCACACTGTTTGGATACTGCTATCCTTAAAATTTGGAGAAGTTATACTATTGTAATCTCAATTTATTATATTATGGGTAACCCAATTGATTTACATCATAATGTTGTCTTCTTGGTAGCCTAGTGTTTCTTTTGATTGTGCAAGCTCATGTGGAAGTGATCCTGATAGGCTTTGTAAGTGGGCACATTTAATGAAAGTTGTGGACAGATATGTTTGTCTCTTGTAACAAAAATAAGAATTAAACATAATAAAGTGAAAGATTTTTCAAAAACTGCATTTTTTCCGAAAGACAAATAGTGATTGTCTTTTCTATTCACTGCTGTGTTTATATAACTTTTTAGATCACATGGTTTGTTTTACCCTTGTTTTAAAATTTGTAATGTTCACAATTTGCACTGCATGATTCAAGCTTTATTATTACTGTATAAATTTCAGTCCTGGTAAAATGACTGATATTTCATGTTGATGAGCTTTCCATTCATATTGAGACTGTGTGTACAGAGGATGAGGTGAACTGTAGAACTGAGTAAATAATTGGTCAATATAATTACAACTTGAATTATCTGGAGGCTTAGATTTCATTAAAATTCTCAGACTCTATCTCCAAAAGACTAGTCTAAACACTTTTCTGGGGTTAAACATTAAAGAACATTTTTTTTAAAATAGGTTTTTATTCTCTGGTCCCTGTAACATTTAATTGTTTTATTGGGCAAATGTCCCTTAACCTGCTAATGATGGTGAACACTCTAGCTTTTCTGATAAACACAGAATTCAATTCTTTTATTCTGTTACGTTATGTACCCTTGATTTTTGGTTATAGAATTTCCCACAAAATTCCATTAATTTACCTAACTTGAAACCTTCTACACAGAAAAAATATTATAGAGATTTTAAATACTTCCCTCCTTACAACTCAAAATCATTTCCAATCAGAGATATGATTTTTAAAAAGCAGTATCAGTCAAGTGTGATGATGAATGCTTCCTTCTACGCAAAGAGGGTACATTTGATTTAGAAGGGTGTGATTTTAAGTGTTCCTGGAGCATAAGGAATAAATTAGTGCTGATTTGTGAACACATCCTTTCTTACTTCCTCTTCTGTATCCAAAGGCTAATTTTTTGGTTTAGCAAGATAAACATGCAGGTCATAAGGCATTACAATGGAAAAGAGCAATTTTAAGCCCAAGGAGGCAGAATAGAATTTCTTTTTTATTCTCAAGAATAAACTTTACTTATACCAATCAAATTTTATCTAGCTACCAGATGATCTGAACTCATTACTACAAATATTTAAATGAATATTGGTTCTGCCACTTAAGGTTCAAATGATATTAACAACTAGTCTCTATATGGTGTGCACAATCTTCAAGTAAACACGGGGAATGAAAGTCCTACATGTACAAAGCTGTCATTATTTTAGAGCCAAACCAGGTGATGTCTTTCCTTCAGTTTTGGTAAAGCACAGGAGCTTCAAGTGTAACATTATGTACAAAAGGATAAACTAATATAGATCTCTATAGACATTATAAAATAGTTTATGAAAAGAGTCTTTATCGGTTTTCCATGTCTTCAGTTCGTGTCAAGAAGAGGAGCTGTAGCATGAAATTTACTTGAAGGATCTTGAAATCTGACACATTAACATCACGAGATGTTAAAATAAATTTTACCAATATTAAATAGATCCTGTTACATCAAATCACTTTAGGTTCGTGAAGATAGATGTTTGAGTACTTTAATACCTATGCTTCAGTAATGTTCCACGGAAGAACTAACATGTTTTTTTAAAGGAGGTAACTATTAGTAATGGCAGAGCAGTTGTGTTCGGTCAGAAAGGTCCTTGTTGGCTTTACATTAATGAAGATGTTAGTGATTCAAGTATATCTCTGATAATATCCATCACAGAGTTATTCCAGTTGTGTTTATCAGAAAAGCTTTGTTTATTGAATCATCTTTTCTGTGTTACATTAAGAAAAAGAGGAACATGTGCATATTTTAAGTGCAGTGCTGTAAACTTTGTCCTTTCATTAGACTGACCAATTTGGGAACATGAACTAAATCCTGATGACTACAGTAACTTGGCCATAAAGCTTTTTTATGTTCATTTCTGCTTGGCTTTTTGTCCTTCAAAAATACCGTAGTATCTTAGAGACTAGAAACTTAAATGTATGTTTTCTCTCTTTTACCACATGTTAAGTTAAAGTAAACTTTTGTTTAAAATGTATTGCTGAACTTCAGTATAAATAAAAGCATTTTGTCTTTGTCAGTTATCACTGAGATTTATTTTTATATTGTCAATTGCAATCATTGAATAATATGGGAGAAAATTTAAAATAAAAATCTAGAAAGTATGAAGATGTTATGTTAAAAATATGAATGTGATTTTTTCCATTTACCCTATTTAAAATAGCCAATTTTCTTGTTTTCAGTTGCTTTAATGACTCATACTTGATCGCCTCTTCCCCCATGCATATACTTAGTGATTCTGCTTCTAGAATGGAAGATTGTAATCAGAATTAGAAAAATACCATAAATTAACTAAGAACTAGGAAATATTACCTGTATATCTATTTCCAAAAGTTTCTTTTAAACCTACTTTCAACTGAAAACTAAACCCATATATATATATGTATATATATATATATATATATATATATATATATATCTTAAGAGTTCCTTATCTGACAAAAGTGCAAATATTCCAGACTGTTGTGATATCCTGCTTTGCCCTTGATTTTCACTGTGAATTTCACTAACTACCATCAATTAAAACCATACTAAAACTTGAGTGCATACTGCCTTAATCTTTCCTCCTCCACATAAAATTACCTGCCATCTTTAAACTTGTCCTCACAAAATCTCAGAGCACAGGTAAAAGGCATCTAATTTCTTTGTCACAACATTTAAAGCATGGCATTTAGTTTAGATTCCATTAGAATTCTTATGTCATCCTCTTTTCTTCCTCTCTTTCTCCCATCTCCTTCTGCCCTCCCCTTCTCCCCTCCCCCAATTCAATTAGGAGATCTCATTATATAACCCTTCTCCAGGTTACCATGCATATCTCTCTTAGGGTCCTCCCTGTACCCCAGACTCTCTAAAATCCATATATGAGTGAGTATATACCATGCTTGTCTTTTTGTGACTGGGTTACCTCACTCAGGATGATTTCTTCTAGTGCCATCCATTTGCCTGCAAATTTCAAGATTCCATTGTTTTTCTGCTGAGTAGAACTCCATTGTGTAAATGTACCACATTTTCTCTATCCACTCTTCAGTTGAGGGGCATCTAGGTTCTTTCCACATTCTGGCTATTACAAATAATGCTGCTATGAACATAGTTGAGCAGATGTCCTTATTGTATGAGGGTACATCTTTTGGGTATATGCCTAAGAGTGGAATTGCTGGATCTTGTGGTAGACTGATTTCTATTTTCCTGAGGAATCTCCATACCGATCTCCTAAGTGGCTACACAAGTTGGGATTCCCAACAGCAGTGGAGGAGTATACCCCTTTCTCCGCATTCTTTCCAGCATAAACTGTTATTAGTGTTTTTTATTTTAGCTATTCTGACAGGAGTGAGATGGTTTCTCAGAGTTGTTTTGATTTGCATTTCCTAAGAGTCACTTGGTCATTTTAGACTCCTCTATTGAGAATTCTCTATTTAATTCTGTACCCCATTTTTTAATTGGATCCTTTGGTGTTCTGGAGACTTGCTTCTTGAATTCTTTGTAAATTTTGGAGATCAGCCCTCTGTCAGATATGGGGTTTGTGAATATCTTTTACCATTCTGTGGGCTGTCGTTTTGTGTTGTTGACTGACTGTTTCCTTTGCCCTGCAGAAGCTCCTCAGTTTCAGGAAGTCCCATTTATTAATTTTCGATCTCAGTGTCTGTACTACTGATGTTATGTTCAGGATGTGGGCTCCTGTACCAATTCGTTCAAGGGTACCTCCCATTTTCTCTTCTAAGAGGTTTGGTGTGGCTGAATTTACGTTGAGGTCTTTGATCCATTTGGACTTCAGTTTTGTACATGGCGATAAACATGGATCGATCCGCATTCTTCTACATGCCAGCATCCAGTTATGCCAGCACCATTTGTTGAAGATGCTTTCTTTTTTCCATTGTATAGTTTTAGCTTCTTTGTCGAAGATCAAGTATTCATAGGTGTGTGCATTAATATCAGTGTTTTCAATTCGATTCCATTGGTCTACCTGTCTATTTTTGTGCAAATACCAAGCTGTTTTCAGGACTATAGCTCTATATTAGAGATGAAGTCAGGGATGATAATGCCTCAGGAAGTTCCTTTATTGTACAGGGTTGTTTTGGCTTTCTTGAGTCTTTTGGTTTTCCATATAAAGTTGGTTATTGTTCTTTCAAGGTCTGTGAATAATTGTGCCAGTATTTTAATGGGGATTGCATTGAATCTGTAGATTGCTTTTGGCAAGATTGCCATTTTTACTATGTTGATCCTACCTATCCAAGAGCATGGGAGATCTTTCCATATTCTGGTATCTTCTTTAGTTTCTTTCTTTAAAGACTCAAAGTTTTTACTATACAGGTCTTTCACTTGTTTGGTTAGTATTACTCCCAAGATATTTTATGCTGTTTATAGCTATTGTAAAAGGTGATGTTTCTCTAATTTCTTCCTCAACCCATTTATCTTCTATATACAGAAAGGCTACTGATTTTTTTTAGTTAATCTTTTATCCTGCCTCTTTGATGAAGGTGTTTATCAGCTGTAGGAGTTCTCTAGTAGAGTTTTTTGGGTCCCTTATGTAAACTGACATATCATCTGCAAGTAGTGAAAGTTTGACTTCTTCCTTTCCAATTCATATCCACTTGATCTCCTTTTGTTGTCCTATTGCTCTAACTAGAATTTCAAGTACAATATTGAAGAGATATAGAGAGAGTGGACAGCCTTGTCTTGTGGTCTTGTGTCTGATTTCAGAGGAATTACATTGAGTTTCTCTCCATTTAGTCAGGGCAGGAGTGACCCAACAATCTCATCAGGCTGGCAGTTGCTTGTTCTCCCAAAGACAAGTCGATCTGCCTGCAGGCCCCAGGCCAGGAGATCCCACAGTGGGCACATGGAAGGCTAGCCTAATTCTTTCATCTTAACTAGTACAGGAAACCCTTGGATTATAACTGATAGGAACGAAGAATATGCTTTTTTTTAATGAACCAGGGCTCCAGTTAACCTCATATGTCTTCTAACCTACAAAGTTTCACTCCTTTTACTCTTCTAGTTGTACCATAAAGCCCTCTTTTTAATACTACCTGAGAAGACAAGTTTGCTTGAACTCATGTTCATAGTCTTCCTTCTGTTTTCTGAACCTACTAACATCAAAGTCACTGCTCCTGAAATATTCATCATCACATCATTTTATATGATCCACAACTTAATAGACTTTAAACAATAAATAATTCCACCTCTTGTTCACAAAGATTCATTGGCTATCATATCTTGGAATCTGATAGGGAACTCAAAATGATCTAGATTATTTTCCTAATTGACAATAATTCTGGGTTTGATAGTTGGAATTTTAACAACATATGTTTGTATAGACATGCTCTTTTATGAGTATAGTGGTAACTCTATACAGATAAAAACCCATTATACACTCTTGATTGACTCACAAGAACATCAATACATCAAACACTCTGTATTTGCTCCTCTGTAGATCTTGTCCTATGAAAATGGAAAAGAGCAGTAATTCATGACAACATACATTCACAAAGAACTTTGAGAGTCAGATGTTTTAAATTTTCTTTACATTTTATATTTTTGTCATCCTATTTTCCCCTCAAATCTGCTTCACATTTCAAAAAGTTGTTATAAGTATGGTATTTATGTCGTTTATTTTTAATCTGCCACTCCAAGATGAATTTTAGATGTCAACCTACTAGAAAATAAAATTTAGAACATTGATAAGTGTTCCAGAAAAATATATGCTTATAAATTCACATTAAATTCCCTCTGAAAAATATCAACAAGAATTTCAAATATCTTTGTTTTACTAAATGAAATGTGTTACTAATACTTTGATTGCTGTATTGTTGAATACTGTCAACATTAGTAAGTTAAGTTGATATGTGAACCGACACCAACTCCAAATTGTGACATTAAAATTAATTAATAAGCACCGAACCATTGTCTCAGTGTAACTCTCATGTGAAACATGTTGCTGAAACATTCCTGAACAATAAATAACTATTCAATTTCTAGGATGCCAAGGAGTTCTGAGATGACAATGCTTTCTGATACAATTTTCATTCAGGGTAAATACTTTCTATTTGAGCCCACAGTGATGAATGTAGAAAACACAGTGATTGCAGTCCAAAAAATGTCATTTGTAGAGGCCCAAGGCACAATGGTAACTTTTATGCCACAGAAGATATGACTCTATCTACTGCCATCTGCAGTTATTACTCATTATACAATTTAATGTTTAATATATTACTTTGTAATGTGACCTGTCTTCATGGTTAATGACACACTGTAACAACGGAATGTTACTGACTGAATTTAAATTTAGTTTTCTAGAAGAAATTTCTTTTCAGGGCAACAATTTAAAATGAAAATACTAAGAACCATGCTATTACTCTTACTGTATCTAAATGACTATACTAGTATCCAGCGCACTGTACTTCATTTTGAATGGTTCATCAGGGAAGTTTAAGTTAGGGTTTTTACTGTTTCAATGAAACACCATAACCAAAAAGCAGGTTTTAGAGTAAAGGGTTCATGTAGCATGCTTTCTTGAACCACTAGCTCCCAAATCATGACACAGAGATATATTATTATGAATATTTAGCTTTATCTTAGGCTTGATTCTAACTTTCTAAAAATATAATTAGCGTATTCCTACAAATCTATGTGCTGCCCCAAGGCTCACTTACCTTATCTACATACTGATCATCCTGCTTCCCTGCTTCCTCCATGTCTGTCTGTCTGTCAGTTCACTGGACCCTTTCTCTCTGCCCATCAGGCCTGCATATTCCTCATCTGCCTAGATAGCTATTGACCTTTTGACTTTGTATTAGCCTAATCAAATGCCTTAGGCAGGTAAAGGGAAAGAGCAACATATCTTTACATAATCAAACAAATACAGCAAAAACAAAAGCAGCACACTTTTACATAGTTAAAGAACTATTCTGCAACACAAACAAATGTAACACATCTTTTCTTAAACAAATACTCTATTTCACAACATTTTTCCTTTTGTCTAAATACAAAGGAAAGGTTTTAACTTTAACATAGCAAAACTAT